GATGATAACCAGTTATCTTCTTAATCTTTTGCTCATAGTAAGTATGAATATCATTTAAGTGTTATGTAAACTCTTATGTTAGCATCATAATAGGATGAGATTTCTATAATTGAGCATTATATCACTTGTATTGAAGCATTATGTACCTTTAGAGAAAGATTAAGTGAATATAAATTTTTAAACCATGTTAAGAGTTCTAGAATTTGTTTGACTATTCCTTGAGGTGAAATCATAGGCTATTCTTGGTTAGGGAGATGACTTAAGCCATCCCTCAACCAGTTGAGCCTTTCAAGCTAACCTAGTTACATTTTTATCCCTAGTATATCAATTTGAGCTTAAGTTGTCATTTTCTTTGATTAAACACATGAATAAATTAGCTTAGCCTTTTAAAAATTTTTCAATTTTACAACCTTCACTCTTAAGCATATATATTGCCTTAGAGAATATATATTGAGTGATTTGATGAAAAAGTGGAAAAAAAAGTGTAGAGAAAAATGCAAAACTTTTGTGAAGTAGTCATTTCACTACTAATGAAAGAAACAAGTTCAAGGTGTTGGATTGAGAATAAAAAAAATGTTTGATAAATGAAGAGTGAAAGGAGAAGAAAAAGGTGTACTTAGTGAAGAAAATAAGGTTATAAAAGTTCTAGAACAATTATATACATAGGGTGATTTGAGCTATATATTGTCCCACATTCTACCTTGACCCTACCCACACGTTACAAACTAAATAAAGTCCTAAAGATCTTTAGTAAAGTGCTAGCATGCTTAATATCCGCTGCAAGCTCTGATTATCCTCCAAGAACCTCTTTATTAATGCCATCAAATTTGAGAAGCAGAGTTTAAATTGTAAAGGTTGGTGAAAAGCTAGAGACTTAAGAAAATTTCTTGAAGAATAAACCTTTGATTTTTATCTAACCTTAAATCTTGCTCTACAAAAGTATTGGGATTGAGGTTTTGATTACAGGGAAGACAAACATCCAAAGAATTTGGGGTCAGGGTTTAAAAAGAATTAGAGCTTTTTGAGATTTGAATATTGAATGGTTTTGTCTCAACATCTTTTTTGCTACACTTTAAGGGATTTCAAATTTTGAGAGAAAGAGAAATTGTAAGATAGACATGAGAGTGCTATTTTTAAGCTAAAACAAAGAAATATAAAAGGTTTGGATTTTTTGTAGATTGTGAAATAAAAAATGTATCTAAATCTTAAAATCCAAGTACTATCATAAATTCTTTAGATGCAAAAATGAAGTGTAGCTAAAATTGTGTCATTAGAACCCATTTATATTGTACTGATAATCGCTAATACTCTATATTGACATGACATAATTAAGACATAAAAACACTAATTATCAAGTCTAATATTTATTGATGTTTAAAGTATGTTTTATATTGTGATTTCATGATTGGTTGTTCAAATAGGAATGATTTAGTTTTCATGGTTACTATGATATACTCTCCTTTATTATTCGTATAGCAATTCTTTTCATTTTTTGTTCTTAATAAACAATTTTTATATTGTAGAATTTTCAAAAATGGACTTAAATGATATTGCAGAAGATATTATGAATTTGGGCATTTAGTAAGGAAGAAATTGTTAGTATATGCCCTTGAGCCAATTAGATTGGTCAAGGAATATATATTGTCATTTAATACATATTTAATCGCATAATTTTATGTGATAGAGGTTTTTTTTCATGTTAGTGCAATAATAAGGAGTTATTAAGTACTAATTGGATGAAGCCTATGGAACATAAAGGCCTTGCAAGAGAATTATAAAGTTGTTATAATTATGAGATTACTATGCATCAAAGTCATGCTCCTAAAATTATTCTTAGTCATTTTGTCAAGACAAGGCATTAACAATGCTCAAAAACTAGTACATGTTAAGCCTTCTTACTTGGGAAGTAAGCAATCAATCTCATAGATTGAAGTATATGGGATACTTGAGGATAACATGTAGGTGCTTGTTAAAGAATAAGTTCACTGAACATGACCCGTTATGAGAACTCCATTTGGTATTTCACTCAAGTGTCTATGGAAATATTCTCATGTGATAGTCATGGAACTAGTTCTTAGACTTGAGACAGCAGGTCATCTTGTATGGGGAATGACATACTTTGATTTCACCTTTACAGATTTGGAAGCAACTAAATGTCTAAACAGGGTGTTTTTGGGTATGCCATGAAGCATGTGAAGGTGAATGAGTGGTCAAGAGAGGATTCATCACCCCAAGTGATATAAGGGGATGTATCTCACTTGTTCTCACTTCTTGATTAACTTATATAAAGTCTTTGGCTAAAGCATGATGAATTTAAGGAAAATTAGTTTCCTAAATTCATAAGATTAGTCATGAATTATGAGAACTAAAATGGAATGTTATAAGTGGACACCGAGCCATACTTAATGACATATCCAGATATTTGATGAAAGGACTATATTGCAGTGAAAGGCTTATCACTGAAGGGTTTTATCAAATTTTTTAATTGACTCTCTAACATTTAGATGGTCATGATGTATTGCTAGATG